AGCTGGAGATGTCTCTGCCTTGGTCCTTTCACTATTGGCTGCTACTTCCCGGCGGATGTCAGGTGGTGCAATACCGGCTAGACAGTGTAATTTCTCCAGTGGTGTAGGGCGCAGACACCTCCACTGTTTTAGTGTGGTGAGATGTGTTCCACACTGGGCATGCATACTCAGCAGCAGAGTAGCAAGCGCAAGGGCAGATGTCTTCACTATCTGGTTGTGATCCCCAGGTTGTGCCAGTCAGCTTTTGTATGATATTATTTCTAGCACCCACTTTTTGCTTGATATTCAGTCAGTGCTTCTTGTAGGTCAGAGCACAGTCCAGAGTGACTCCCAAGTATTTGGGTGCGCTTCAATTTTCCAGTGGGGTTCCTTCCCAGGTAATAATCCTCAGAGCTTGAGATGTTCGTCTGTTCTTAAGGTGAAATGCACATGTCTGCATTTTAGATGGATGAGAAATCAGCTGGTTTCCCCTGTAATAGGCAGTAAGAGCACCTAAAGCTTCGGAGAGCTTCTGTTCAAAGCTCCCTGCTTGGGCGGTGATGGCACGATCGTCAGCATAGATGAAACTCTGTCCCTTCTAGCAGTGGCTGATCATTTGTGTGCATGTTGGACATTGATGGAGCAAGCACACTCTAGCCCTGGAACTCAACAAATAACCAAAGTGGCTAAAATAGGACTGAAGATTGAATACAAAATTAAGATATTAAGATAGAATGAAGAAACTGTTTAAAAGGATAGAGGGATGGGATTACAGCAATATTTTCACTGTGTGTTTAAGGGCCACTGCACACAGCCATGTTGTTGTTGTTGTTGTTCATTCGTTCAGTCGTCTCCGACTCTTCGTGACCTCATGGACCAGCCACGCCAGAGCTCCCTGTCGGCCGTTACCACCCCCAGCTCCTTCAAGGTCAGTCCAGTCACTTCAAGGATGCCATCCATCCATCTTGCCCTTGGTCGGCCCCTCTTCCTTTTACCTTCCACTTTCCCCAGCATAATTGTCTTCTCTAGGCTTTGCTGTTTCCTCATGATGTGGCCAAAGGACTTCAACTTTGTCTCCAGCCACACACAGCCATATAACACAGAATATCAGGGGAGATAATCCACAATATCTGTTGTAGCAGAGTCTGCTGGCATTGGTGCATTTGTGTCAATAATAATAATAATAATATTAAATTATCATCATGTTTATTTATATCTTGGTTTTTCTCTCCTCAAGGAGACTCAAAACAGCTTCAAATATTAATAAATGTATAGATTTGAAATAAAAAGAAAAACCTCCTGAGAAGGAGTCTCCTCTGGACTCTAGGGCCTCTTCTAAATTGCCATATAATCTCTATGATCAAGTCAGATAATCCAGATTATCTGCTTTGAACTGGATTATATAAATCTACACTGCCAGGTAATCCAGTTCAAAGCAGAGATGATAATCTGGATTTTATATGGCAGTGTAGAAGGAGCCATAGATCCCTTTCCTGTGAACTGTTGTCAAGCCAGGATTACATAGGCTGTTGCCATGGCAGCTAAATGAGCATCATACTGCTCCAAATTGCATAGTGTGCGCATGGGCTCCCGGTTGCTAGCAATGAGTCATGCATTAAAAGCTTTTAAGAAGCACATTCTCCACAATTTCGTTCTGGAAACAGGTGGTTTGATGCCGCTTTTGTAAATACCTAGCATTAATACCTTGACATTCTCCATGTGTAATTCTTTGAAAAATCACAAAACCCTAACCATTTCCCACAGTCCTATATCCCAGAATATCAAGGCAGAAAATCCCACAATATCTGCTTTGAACTGGGTTATCTGAGTCCACACTCCGATAATGTGGGATTTTCTGCCTTTGTATTCTGGGATATAGGTCTGCGTGGAAGGGCCCCTAAGGTGCATCTACATACAATATAGAATGAATGCAGTTTGACAACTGATGAACTAACACGGCTCATGGCTGTGGACTTCTGGGAGATGTAGTTTTCCAAGGCTGAAGGTATTTATTATTATTATTATTATTATTATTATTATTATTATTATTATTGCTGGAGACTACTCCAGCATATGCCCGCTTTTAAAAAGCCTAAAACAGATCATCGGCTGACTGAGCTGTGACACAGACACACAGCTGGTTTAATGGAAGCACGAATAGAGACCATTAGAACTCTCTGAAAGTCTTTATTTTGGTCCCGACTTTGGTTACATCCCGTTTAGACTACTGCAACGCTCTCTACGTGGGGTTGCCTCTGAAGACTGCCCGGAAGCTGCAGCTAGTCCAACGCTCGGCAGCCAGACTACTAACGGGTGCTGGGTACAGGGAGCACACCACTCCGCTGTTACACCAGCTCCACTGGCTGCCAATTAGCTTCCGAGCACAATTCAAAGTGCTGGTGTTAACCTATAAAGCCCTAAACGACTCCGGCCCTGTTTACCTCTCCGAACGTATTCTCCCCTATGAACCATCAAGATTATTAAGATCGTCTGGAGAGGCCCTGCTCTCGGTCCCACCGGCCTCGCAAGCGCGTCTGGTGGGGACGAGGGACAGGGCCTTCTCGGTGGTGGCCCCTCGACTCTGGAACTCTCTCCCACTGGAGATCAGAACCGCCCCGTCTATCCTGACATTCAGGAAACAGGTAAAGACGTGGTTATGGAGACAGGCATTCGACGAGTGAGCCAACACCCTGAGATATGGATGGAGGATGATGAACAACGATTTTAGTGTGACGACTGACCATTGTAGTTATTGATTGTAATTGCTGTTTTAATGTTTTACTGTAATATGAAGTATGATGTTTTATTGACTGTATGTGATATTATGGTTGGAAACCGGTCTGAGTCCCTCAAGAGAGGTGAGAAGGTCGGTATACAAAACTTTTAAATAAATAATAATAAATAATAATTATTTTGAACTTTATAATTGATATATATATATATATATATATATATATATATATATATCTACACACACACACACATATATATATATATATATACATACATACATACATACATACACGGCGGGGGGAGGACTCAAAGCAGCTCAGAATCAACAATATTACAACTTAAAATATATAATAATAAAACAGTATATAACTATATATTATTTTATGTTGTTATATGTTATGGAGCCTCTTGTGGCGCAGTGGGTTAAATCACTGAGCTGTTAAACTTGTTGACCAAAAGGTTTCAGGTTGGAATCCAGGGAGTGGGGTGAGCTCTCACTGTCAGCCCCAGCTCCTGCCAACCTAGCAGTGTGACAACATGCCAATGTGAGTAGATCAATACGTACCATTCCAACAGGAAGGTAATGGCGCTCCATGCAGTCATGTCAGCAGCCACATGACTTTGGAGGTGTCTATGGACAACGCCGGCTCTTCGGCTTAGAAATGGAGACAAGCACCAATCCCCAGAGTCAGGCACGACTGGACTTAATGTCAAGGGAAAACCTTTACCTTTACCTTATATGTTATCTGTAGTACTTATATTTCACATATTAATATAACTATATTACAATACTATTATATATATATATAGTTACGTTGTAGTATACTAGCCGTCCCCTGCCATGCGTTGCTATGGCCCAGTCTGTGTATATGTGTTTTGTGTGTGTGTGTATGCACGTGTATATATTTGTGTATATGAAGTTGTGACAAATGCAAGATACTCCACTTTGGCAGAAAAAAGGAAAGGCAAAGATACAGAATGGGGAACGATGAGGCCTGGCTCGAGAGCAGTACGTGTGAAAAAGATCTTGGAGTCCTCGTGGACAACAAGTTAAACATGAGCCAACAATGTGATGTGGCGGCAAAAAAAGCCAATGGGATTTTGGCCTGCATCAAGAGGAGCATAGTGTCTGGATCTAGGGAAGTCATGCTCCCCATGCTCTATTCTGCTTTGGTTAGACCACACCTGGAATATTGTGTCCAATTCTGGGCACCACAATTCAAGAGAGATATTGACAAGCTGGAATGTGTCCAGAGGAGGGCGACTAAAATGATCAAGGGTCTGGAGAACAAGCCCTATGAGGGGCTTAAGGAGCTGGGCATGTTTAGCCTGAAGAAGAGAAGGCTGAGAGGAGATATGGTAGCCATGTATAAATATGTGAGAGGAAGCCACAGGGAGGAGGGAGCAAGCTTGTTTTCTGCTTCCCTGGAGACTAGGACGCAGGAACAATGGCTTCAAACTACAAGAGAGGAGATTCCATCTGAACATGAGGAAGAACTTCCTGACTGTGAGAGCCGTTCAGCAGTGGAACTCTCTGCCCCGGAGTGTGGTGGAGGCTCCTTCTTTGGAAGCTTAAACAGAGGCTGGATGGCCATTTGTCAGGGGTGATTTGAATGCAATATTCCTGCTTCTTGGCAGAATGGGGTTGGACTGGATGGCCCAGGAGGTCTCTTCCAACGCTACGATTCTATGATATGTGTATATAGGTGGTTTTGTGCATGCGCTGTAGCTTCTTTTTGGGTGTTTTTTTTTTTTTTGCTTTTTTAGTCCCTGTCTGCTGTGTTTTTCAGTGTTTTTATGAGTGATGGTCACTCATTGGCCTTATAGGTGTCTTGTGTCCAAATTTGGTGTAAATTCGTCCAGTGGTTTTTGAGTTATGGATGAACATTACATTTTTATTTATATAGATTGTAGTATGTTATAGTTTTATATTACATTACATTATAATATTATCCCTATTATATGTATATACAATTAGCATAGCACAATATTAGTATTATACATATATATATTGTACTTATATCACTGTACTGCAATATTATTAAATAAACAAACAAAGCAACCAATGTTCCACCTGGTTCACCTTCCCTTCTCTCCCTGCGCGGCCCCTTTAAGAGCTCCCCCCTCCCTTTGGACTCCTTACAGGTGGTGCCTGGAGAAATGATACAACAAGGTTCGAAAGGGGCGGGGAAGAGGCTGAGTGAAGGGGAGAGGAACCAATAGGAAGCGTCTTAGGAGAGAGCTCAGCCAATGAGCGGGCGCCCAGGCAAGAAAGGGGCGGGGTTTGCCCTGCCAGGTTAAAAACCTCGCGCTGGTGCAGCTTGCAGGTGAATCCTCCTCCTGTCTCAGGTCATGGCGAAGAGGCCGGTGAACCCCCAGCACGGGGAGGACTTCTCCTTCGTCAGCCCCTTGGTGAAATACCTCCTCTTCTTCTTCAACATGGTCTTCTGGGTGAGTCTGGCAACATGACTGGGTTCAGACGTGCATGCCCGTACACGTGTCTAGAAAGGTTAACACGCCTAGGCTTTTAAGGCTGCCTCTGGGGCATGGTCTCTCTGGGTGCAGCCATCCACACTGTAGATTTAATAGTCTTGCAACATGGTTGGGTTCAGACGTGCATGCCAGTACACGTGTCTAGTATACACGTGTCTAGAAAGGTTAACACACCTAGGCCCTTAAGGCTGCCTCTGGGGCATGGTCTCTCTGGGTGCAGCCATCCACACTGTAGATTTAAGTCTTGCAACATGGCTGGGTTCAGACGTGCATGCCTGTACACGTGTCTAGCGTACACGTGTCTAGAAAGGTTAACACACCTAGGCCTTTAAGGCTGCCTCTGGGGCATGGTCTCTCTGGGTGCAGCCATCCACACTGTAGATTTAATAGTCTTGCAACATGGCTGGGTTCAGACGTGCATGCCTGTACACGTGTCTAGCGTACACGTGTCTAGAAAGGTTAACACACCTAGGCCTTTAAGGCTGCCTCTGGGGCATGGTCTCTCTGGGTGCAGCCATCCACACTGTAGATTTAATAGTCTTGCAACATGGTTGGGTTCAGACGTGCATGCCAGTACACGTGTCTAGTATACACGTGTCTAGAAAGGTTAACACACCTAGGCCCTTAAGGCTGCCTCTGGGGCATGGTCTCTCTGGGTGCAGCCATCTACACTGTAGATTTAATGCAGTTTGGTACTGTTTCTACTACCATAATAATAATAATACTAATAATAATAGTGATGTCATGGCTAAATTAATGTGTTTACATACTGTTTCAATGCATCTACACTATATTTAATGTGGTTTGATACCGTTTTAACTGCCATGGCTGAATTAATGTGGTTTAATACTGCTTTAATGCAGCTACACTGTAGATTTAATGCAGTTTGATACTGTTTCTACTGCCATAATAATAATAATAATTATCTATGCTGATGCTAGTTTCATCTATGCTGATGATTGTGCCATTACTGCTCAAGCAGGGAGCTTTGAGATGGTTGAACAGAAGCTCTCTGAAGCTCTAGGTGCTCTTACTGCCTATTACAGGGAAAACCAGCTGATCCCTAATCCATCCAAAACACAGACATGTGCCTTTCATCTCAAGAACAGAGAAGCATCCCGAGCTCTGAGGATCACCTGGGAAGGAATCCCACTGGAGCATTGCAGCACACCCAAATACCTGGGAGTCACTCTGGACCGTGCTCTGACCTACAAGAAGCACTGCCTGAACATCAAGCAAAAAGTGGGTGCTAGAAACAATATCATACGAAAGACTGGCACAACCTGGGGATCACAACCAGACACAGTGAAGACATCTGCCCTTGCGCTGTGCTATTCTGCTGCTGAGTATGCATGCCCAGTGTGGAACACATCTCACCACACTAAAACAGTGGATGTGGCTCTTAATGAGACATGCCGCATTATCACGGGGTGTCTGCGCCCTACACCACTGGAGAAATTACACTGTTTAGCCGGTATTGCACCACTTGACATCCGCTGGGAAGTAGCAGCCAATAGTGAAAGGACCAAGGCAGAGACATCTCCAGCTCATCCCTCTGTTTGGGTATCAGCCAGCACGTCAACGACTTAAATCTATAAATAGTTTTCTAAGATCTACAGAGACACTCGCTGGAACACCTCAGCAAGTGAGAGTCCAAAAGTGGCAGGCTCAAACCCAGAACCTCAATCAATGGCTGATACCAAATGAGAGACTCCCCCTGGGCACACAGAAGACTGGGCGACTTGGAAGGCGCTGAACAGACTGCGCTCTGGCACCACGAGATGCAGAGCCAACCTTCAGAAATGGGGCCACAAAGTGGAATCCTCGACATGTGAGTGGGGAGAAGAGCAAACCACTGACCACCTGCTGCAATGCAACCTGAGCCCTGCCACATGCACAATGGAGGACCTTCTTGTGGCAACACCAGAGGCACTCCAAGTGGCCAGATACTGGTCAAAGGACATTTAATCAACTACCAAGCTTGCAAACTTTGTGTTTTGTCTGTTTGTTTGTTTGTTTTGTTAAAAATGTAATACAATTGTCTGGTTGCTCCTGACACAATAAATACTAGATTTATTGTGGTTTCATACCATTTTAGCTGCCATGGCTGAATTAATATAGTCTGAGACTGCTTTAATATACCTACACTGTAGATTTAATGCAGTTTGATACTGTTTCCACTGCCACCATAATAATAGTCATAATCATGCCATAGAAAAATCAATGCAATTACCTATGGCTTTAATGCATCTCCATTAGATTTAATGCGGTTTGATACAGCTTTAACTGCCATGGCCGAATTAATGCAGCTTGATACTGCTACACTGTAGACTTAATGCAGTTTGATACTGTTTCAACTACCCATGGCAAAAATTAATGCAGCTTGATACTTCTGAATGTATCCGAATTGGATAAGAGATATTCAATTCATATTATTATTTCCTTTTGTCACAGATTTATAAGTATTATTGATTAGGGATTTCGATCATCAATTATTTGGATTCTACCTGAAAATATTGGAATCGCTTAGGCATGTACAAATACCAAGGATGGCCGCTGTTTACAAAGGTGCTGCACCGATCCCTTCTAATTACAATCCAATTATTAAATTATCAGATTATTACTTTTCTCAGTTTGGAAGTCTGCCAGGTTTTAATAGCTGGAGTTTTGGATGATTAGCATTTTTTGACTTTGATCCAAGAGTTTAGGAATCCTTCCAAGTGTCATCTTTTCTGTGGCAGATTTCCTTCTAATTCATTTATTGGTCCATAGATATTTTCCATAAAGAAATTCTTGGTGGTATGAAGAAACTTATATCCCCATCCCCAAAAAGTGAAATGTTAACGAATGCTCAAACTTAGATATGTAGATGATACCAGTTTCATGGCCGAAAGCAAGGAGGAACTGAGGAGGAACCCTTCTGATCAAGGTGGAAGAAGAAAGGGCAAAAGCTGGGTTGCAGTTCAACAGGTGGCGAAACTATACAGAGGATCTGTGTAGGAAGAGTAATAATATCGAGGATAGTTTTGATGGTGTGGTGAGTGAGTTAGAACCAGACATCCTGAGGAGTGAGGTTGAATGGGCCTTAGAAACAAAGATAGCAAGGACCTAATAGAAGCTGAAGAGATCAAGAGAAGGTTGTGAGACTATACAGAAGATCTGTATAGGAAGGATAATAATATCGAGGATAGTTTTGATGGTGTGGTGAGTGAATTAGAACCAGACATCCCGAGGAGTGAGGTTGAATGGGCCTTAAAAACAAAGATGGCAAGGACCTAATAGAAGCTGAAGAGATCAAGAGAAGGTGGGGAGACTATACAGAAGATCTGTATAGGAAGGATAATAATATCGAGGATAGTTTTGACAGTGTGATGAGTGAATTAGAACCAGACATCCCGAGGAGTGAGGTTGAATGGGCCTTAAAAACTAAGATGGCAAGGACCTAATAAAAGCTGAAGAGATTAAGAGAAGGTGGCGAGACTATACAGAAGATCTGTATAGGGAGGATAATAATATCGAGGATAGTTTTGACGGTGTGGTGAGTGAATTAGAGGGAGGTTGAATGGGCCTTAAGAAGCATTGCTAACAACAAGGCAGCAGGAGACGACGGGATCCCAGCTGAACTGTTTAAAATCTTAAAAGATGATGCTGTCAAGGTGATGCATGCCATGTGCCAGCAAATATGGAAAACACAAGAATGGCCATCAGATTGGGGGGGGGGGGGAACAACTTATATCCCCATACCAAGAAAAGGAAATGCTAAAGACTGCTCAAACTTTCGTATAGTGGCCTTTATTTCTCATGCCAGTAAGGGAATGCTCAACATCCTGCAAGGAAGACTCCAGCAAGACATAGAAAGTTGCCAGATGGACAAGCTGGATTCAGAAAAGACAGAAGAACGAGAGACCCAATTGCCAATATCCGGATGCTGGATAATGGAAAAAGGAAGGGAGGTTCAGAAAAACATATATTTCTGTTTCATTGACTATTCTAAAGCCTTTGACTGCGTGGTTCATAATAAATTGTTGTTCCAGGGCCAGAGAAGCAGATGGCGGAAACAGAAGAACGGCCTGCCTCAGGGGAGCGTGCTTGCTCCATCCACGTTCAACATCTACACAAATGACCAGCCACTGCCAGAAGGGACAGAGAGCTTCATCTATGCTGATGATCGTGCCATTACCGCTCAAGCAGGGAGCTTTGAGATGGTTGAACAGAAGCTCTCCAAAGCTCTAGGTGCTCTTACTGCCTATTACAGGGAAAACCAGCTGATCCCTAATCCATCTAAAACACAGACATGTGCTTTTCACCTTAAGAACAGACAAGCATCCTGAGCCCTGAGGATTACCTAGGAAGGAATCCCACTGGAGCATTGCAGCACACCCAAATACCTGGGAGTCACTTTGGACCGTTCTCTGACCTACAAGAAGCACTGCCTGGATATCAAGCAAAAAGTGGGCGCTAGAAACAATATCATACGAAAGGTGACTGGCACAACCTGGGGATCACAACCAGACACAGTGAAGGCATCTGCCCTTGCGCTCTACTACTCTGCTGTTGAGTATGCATGCCCAGTGTGGAACATATCTCACCACGTTAAAACAGTGGATGTGGCTCTTAATGAGACATGCCGCATTATCATGGGGTGTCTGCGCCCTACACCACTGGAGAAATTACACTGCTTAGCCGGTATTGCACCACCTGACATCCGCCGGGAAGTAGCAGCCAATAGTGAAAGGACCAAGGCAGAGACATCTCCAGCTCATCCCTTGTTTGGGTATCAGCCAGCACGTCAACGACTTAAATCAAGACATAGTTTTCTAAGATCTACAGAGACACTTGCTGGAACACCTCAGCAAGCGAGAGTCCAAAATGGCAGGCTTAAACCCAGAACTTTAACCAATGGCTGATACTAAATGAGAGACTCCCCCCTGGGCACACAGAAGACTGGGTGATGTGGAAGGCGCTGAACAGACTGCGTTCTGGCACCACGAGATGCAGAGCCAACCTTCAGAAATGGGGCTACAAAGTGGAATCCTCAACATGCGAGTGGGGAGGAGAGCCAACCACTGACCACCTGCTGCAATGCAGCCTGAGCCCTGCCACATGCACAATGGAGGACCTTCTTGCAGCAACACCAGAAGCACTTCAAGGGGCCAGATACTGGTCAAAGGACATTTAATCAACTACCAAGCTTGCAAACTTTGTTTGTTAAAAATTTGTTAAAAATGTAATACAATTGTCTGGTTGCTACTGACACGATAAATAAATAACCGAGGGATCTATATATATGTATATATGTGTGTGTGTATTTATATTATTTTTGTTAATCTTTAGAAGCCGTGTTTAATTCATCTGTGCCTGCCATCTCAAAGCTCTTTGTTTTCCAATTTTGGCTTTTCTTCGTTTTCCCAGCTTGGTACATATTATCTAAAGAAGTAGGTGTCATGCAGGGATGGGATCTTCTCATGTCAGTGTTCTAGCTGATGGTCTAAAATTCCTAGTTTTTTTAAAATAATTGGAATATATTTTGCATTGAAATGTATTTGAGTATTTTTGGAATCAATTCATGCTTCTTTTTTTCCCAGATGATTTCAATGGTGATGGTGGCCATCGGGGTCTATGCTCGCCTGATGAAGCACGCAGGTAAGGAATGAATGAAAGAAAGAAAGAGAGAAAGAGAGAGAAAGAGATAGGAATGAAAGAGAAAGAGAGAGGAAGAGAAAGAAAGAGACAGAAAAAGAGAGAAAAAGAGATAAAAATAAAAAAGAGCAAGAAAAATACCGGTAATAGAAATAAGATAGAGAAATAGAAATGAAAGAGAGGTAGAGAAAGAAAAAGTGAAAGAGAGAGGGGGAGAGAGATAGAAATAAAAGAGAGAGAGCCAGAAAGATAGATCGAAGTAAGAGAGAGAGTAATAGATAGAATTGAAAGAGAGAGAAAGAGAGATAGCAAGAAGGAGGAAAAGAAAAAGAATGAAATAAAAAGAGAGAAGGAAAAATACAGAAAGAGACAAAGAGAGAAATAAAAGAGCAAGAAAGATAGAAATAAGAGAGAAGTGAGATAAATGAAAGAGAGAAGGAAGGAGGAAAAGAAAGAAAGTGAAAAAAAGACAGAGAAATAAGAGAAAGAGAAAGAGGGGGGAGAAATAGAAGAGAAAGAAAGTGAGAGAAACAGCAAAGAAAGAAAGGAAGACAAATAAAAAGGGAAAAAAGATAGAAAAGAGCAAGAAAGATAATAGAAGTAAGAGAGAAATAGAAATGAAAGAGAAAAAGGGATAGAAAGAAAAAGAAATAAAAGAGGGGAAGTAACAGAAAGATAGATTGAAGTAAGAGAGACAAATAGAGAGAAATGAAAGAGAAAGAAAGATAGCAAGAAAGAGAGATAGCAAGAAGGAGGAAAAGAAAAAGAATGAAATAAAAAGAGAGAAGGAAAAATACAGAAAGAGACAAAGAGAGAAATAAAAGAGCAAGAAAGATAGAAATAAGAGAGAAGTGAGATAAATGAAAGAGAGAAGGAAGGAGGAAAAGAAAGAAAGTGAAAAAAAGACAGAGAAATAAGAGAAAGAGAAAGAGGGGGAGAAATAAAAGAGAAGAGAAAGAAAGTGAGAGAAACAGTAAAGAAAGAAAGGAAGACAAATAAAAAGGGAAAAAAGATAGAAAAGAGCAAGAAAGATAATAGAAGTAAGAGAGAAATAGAAATGAAAGAGAAAAAGGGATAGAAAGAAAAAGAAATAAAAGAGGGGAAGTAACAGAAAGATAGATTGAAGTAAGAGAGACAAATAGAGAGAAATGAAAGAGAAAGAAAGATAGCAAGAAGGAGGAAGAGAAAAAAGGATGAAAGAGACAAAAATAAAGGAGAGAGAAAAAAAATACAGAAAGAGAGAAAGAGATAGAAATAAAAGAGAGCAAGAAAGATCAAAATAAGAGGAGTAGAGAGAAATGAAAGAGAAAGAGAGAAAAAGAGTAAAAGAGAAAGACAAAAAGAGAAATAAAAGAGAAAAGAGAAAGATAGAGTGAGAGAAAGACAGTAAACAAAGAGGAAGAGAAATAAAAAGGGAAAAAAGATAGAAAAGAGCAAGAAAGATAATAGAAGTAAGAGAGAAATAGAAATGAAAGAGAAAAAGGGATAGAAAGAAAAAGAAATAAAAGAGGGGAAGTAACAGAAAGATAGATTGAAGTAAGAGAGACAAATAGAGAGAAATGAAAGAGAAAAATAGAGAGAAATTAAAGAGAAAGAAAGATAGTAAGAAGGAGGAAGAGAAAAAGAATGAAAGAGACAAAAATAAAGGAGAGAGAAAGAAAAATACAGAAAGAGAGAAAGAGATAGAAATAAAAGAGAGCAAGAAGATCGAAATAAGAGGGAGGAGTAGAGAGAAATGAAAGAGAAAGAGAAAAAGGAGGAGAAAGAAAGCGTGAAAGAGAAAGACAGATAGAGAAATAAAAGAGATAGAAATAAAAGGGAGAGTGAGAAAGAGAAATGGAAAAGAGAAAGAATGAAAGAGAAACAAAAAGATACAGAAAGAGAAATAAGAGACAGAAAAGAAAGAAAGAAACAGAAAGGAAAGAAAAAGATGAAAGAGAAAAATAAAGGCGAGAGAGAAAGAAAAATACAGAAAGAGATAGAAATAAAAGAGAGCGAGAAAGATCGAAATAAGAGAGTAGAGAGATATAAACACAGAAATACACAAATATATACACATATGCATACACATATACACCCATCTATCTATCTATCTATCTATCTATCTATCTATCTCTCTCGATCTCTCTATCTATCTATCTATATCTATCTATCTCTCTATCTGTCTCTCTCTCTATCTATCTCTATCTATCTCTATCTATCTCTATCTCTATCTCTCTCTGTCTCTGACTCTCTCTCTCTCTCTATCTCTCTCTATCTCTCTCTATCTCTATCTATCTCTCTCTCTCTCTCTCTCTCTCTCTCTATCTCTCTCTCTGTCTATCTCTCTCTCTCTCTCTCTCTCTCTCTCTCTATCTTTCTATTCTCTATCTCTTTCTCTCTCTCTCTCTCTTTCTTTCTTCTCTTTCTCTCTCTCTTTTCTCTTTCTTTTCTCTCTCTCTCTTCTCTCTTCTCTCTCTCTCTCTTCTCTTCTCTCTCTCTTTTCTTTCTTTCTTTCCTTTCTCTCTCTTTTCTTTCTCTTCTTCCTCTCTCTTCTCTATCTCTTCTCTCTTCTCTCTCCTCTCTCTCTACTCTCTCTCTCTATCTCTATCTCTTTCTCTCTCTCTTCTTCTCTTTCTCTTTCTCTCTCTCTTTCTCTTTCTCTTTCTCTCTCTTCTCTCTTCTATCTCTATCTCTCTCTATTCTATGCAACACACATATACACATATTCACAAATATATACACACACATAAAAACACATATATACACACACAAACACATATACACAGACTGGGCCACAGCAACGCGTGGCAGGGCACGGCTAGTCTATAATAATATTAATTATGCAAGTCCCAGCATTTCTTCACATTGGGATGCTGGGATGTCCAATGCAATGGGATCCGGATTGCTGCCTGTTGCCTGTCGATCCTGCTCTGAACCAGAGACCTTTTGAGGTTTGTTGTCTGCAATTCCCACCATGAATGAAGGATGCTGGGAGTTGTAGTCTGCTCTGAGTTGCCTTCAGGATGATATGAGCGGGGTAGAAACAATGCAAATAATAGTCCCACATCCCATTAGGTTTCAAAACAGATGACTATCATGGCAGAGGTGTGTGGGGGATTTTGGGAAGGATAGTCCCCCAAAAGGTATGTTTTTGGTGAGGAATGCAGTGCAAAAGTGGGGTTCTGGAATGGAAGATGGCTCCGTTCTGGTGCCAAACTGCATTAATTCTGCCGTGTGGATGCACCTCTAGCCTCCCCTTTGCAACTCCTAATTCTCCCCTCTCTTTCCACAGAGGCAGCCATGGCCTGTTTGGCTGTGGATCCGGCCATTTTGCTGATGGTGGTCGGGATCCTGATGTTTTGCATCACCTTTTGCGGCTGCATCGGCTCCCTGCGAGAAAACATCTGCCTGCTGCAAACGGTGAGGCCAAAGGGGACAAGCTAACACAGCTGTCACCCCACACTTCAGGTTTCAGGTTGACCATTTGTAGCCTACGCCCGCTCTTTGTTGTGGTCGAACCGATGCTGTACATATGCAAGCGAAAAGAAATAAAATCAAAGATATACCTGAAAACTTTCCTATGGAAGGTAAAAAAAGGTTTTCCCCTGACATTAAGTCCAGTTGTGTCCAATTCTGGGACTCTGGTGTTCATTGTATTATTGATAGTGATGTTGTTTAATGTTGTTGTGATATTGCTTGTGCCTGTTTTTATATGTTGTACACCGCCGTGAGTCGCCCTAGGGCTGAGAACGGCGGTCTACAAGTGCAGTAAATAAATAAATAAATAAATAAATAAATCTTCCATTGCTAAGCCAAAGAATCGGCTTTGTCCATAGACACCTCCAAGGTCACGTGGCCTGCATGACTGCATGGAGCACCATTACCATCCTGCCAGAGCTGTATCTATTGATCTATTCACATTTGCATGTTTTCGAACTGCTTGGTTGGCAGAAGCTGGGGCTAACAGTGGGAGCTCTGTTAGCTCCCTGCTTTCCAGATTTGAACCTGCAACCTTTCGGTCAGCAAGTTTAGCAGCTCAGCGGTTTAACCAACTGCGTCACCGGGGACTCAGTTTCCTATGGAAATAGGGTTGTTTTTTTTTAATTCAGCAAAAGATCCCAGGAAGAAAACCACCTAATTTAAATAATGCAAATTCAGAACAGGCCAGGCATTGGCTTTCATTTCAGAAAGAGGGACCTTGATTGACAAGAATGCTCCTTGTATTGTCGAAGGCTTTCATGGCCAGAATCACTGGGTTGTTGTAGGTTTTTTTGGGCTATATGGCCATGTTCTAGAGGCATTCTCTCCTGACGTTTTGCCTGCATCTATGGCAAGCATCCTCAGAAGTAGTGAGGTCTGTTGGAACTAGGAAAAAGGGTTTATATATCTGTGGAATGACCAGGGTGGGACAAAGGACTCTTGTCTGCTGGAGCTAGGTGTGAATGTTTCAACTGACCACCTTGATTAGCATTTGATGGCCTGGCAGTGCCTGGGGGAATCTTTTGTTGAGAGGTGATTATATGTCCTTGTTTGTTTCCTCTCTGTTGTTGTGCTGTTGTAATTTTAGAGTTTTTTTTTTTAATATTTCAACTGGCCACCTTGATTAGAATTTGATGTCCTGGCAGTGCCTGGGCAATCTTTTGTTGAGAGGTGATTAGCTGTCCCTGATTGTTTCTTCTCTGTTGTTTTGCTGTTGTAATTTTTGAATTTTTCAATACTGGTAGCCAGATTTTGTTCATTTTCATGGTCTCTTCCTTTCTGTTGAAATTGTCCACATGTTGTGGATTTCAATGGCTTCTCTGTCAAGTCAAAAAAGAAGCCCCATTAAAGCCTTGGCAGACCGTGCAAAAAGAATCTGTGAAGCCCACCTCCTCCAAGATGAACTGAACCACCTCAACTGGGCTCTCCAGGCCAATGGAGACTCCACCTCAGACATCAGAAGAGCTGCAAGACAACCGAGAAGAAGCCACGAGAGTCAAGATGAAGACCCACCCAGAGGAAAAGGGTTCTTGCCAGACATCAAGGGAACCACTGACCGCAGAGGGAAGCTGATGAGGAAACACAACATACAAACAATCTACAGACCCACCAAGAAAATCCAACAAATGCTACGTTCAGCAAAGGACAAGAGGGATCCTCTCACTTCTGCAGGAGTCTACCGTATACCATGCAGATGTGGACAAGTCTACATAGGGACCACCAAACGCAGCGCCCAAACACGAATCAAGGAACATGAAAAGCACTGCAGACTACTTCAACCAGAGAAGTCAACCATAGCAGAGCACATGATGAACCACCTGGACACAGCATATTATTTGAGAACACAGAAATGCTGGACCACTCCAACAACCACCATGTCAGACTACACACAGAGAAGCCACTGAAATCCACAAGCATGTGGACAATTTCAACAGAAAGGAGGAAACCATGAAAATGAACAAAATCTGGCTACCAGTATTAAAAAAACCTCTAAAATTACAACAGCACAACAACAGAGAGGAAACAAACAAGGACATCTAATCACCTCTCAACAAAAGATTGCCCCAGGCACTGCCAGGCCATTAAATGCTAATCAAGGTGGTCAGTTGAAACATTCACACCTAGCTCCAGCAGACAAGAGTCCTTTGTCCCACCCTGGTCATTCCACAGATATATAAACCCTTTTTCCTACTTCCAACAGACCTCACTACCTCTGAGGATGCTTGCCATAGATATAGGCGAAATGTCAGGAGAGAATGCCTCTAGAACATGGCCATATAGCCTGAAAAAACCTACAACTTTCCAATAATGCTCCTGTCTTACCTCAAGACCTTCCCTTTATGGGGTCTTCTCTTTTCCGTAGTTCTCAGTCTGCTTGACCATCATTTTCCTGCTGCAGCTGGCGTCCGGCGTTCTGGGCTTCGTCTTCTCAGATAAGGTATTTGTTGTTGTTGTTGTGATATTATTATTACTGTGGTGGTATTAATATTCTTGCTATTGATATTGTTGTGATATGATTGTGATAGTGGTATTATCGCTGTTATTATTTTATTGTGGTATTATTGTTGCTGTTGTTATTGTGGTAGTGGCATTTTTTTGTTGCTATTATTATTGTGCTCTTATTGTGGTAGTGATATTATTTCTGTTGCTGATATTATTGTTCCGGTATTATGATGATGGTGGTAGTGCTGGTATTAATTATGTTGCTATTGTTATTGTTGTTGTGGTATTATTGTAATTTTAATGTTGTTGCTATTGTTGTTGTGGTATTATGGTGATAGTGCTCCTACTGTTATTTTATTGCAGTATTATTGTTATCGTAGTAATTCTGTTGTTACTTTTGTTATTATTATGTTATGGTGGTATTGCTGTTGCTGCTATTATTACTGTACTGTTGTGGTAGTGATATTTGTTGTTGTTGCTGTTATTATTATTGTGGTAATATTGTTTTTGCTATTGTTAATATGGTAGTGTATTGTTGTTGCTATTATTGTTATTTTTGCTGTTATAAATATATTATTATCTTTGTTGCTATTATTATTGTGGTAGTGGTATTGTTGCTGCTGCTGTAATTTTATTGTGGTATTGTTGTGGTAGTGACTGTTGTTATTATGTTATGGTGGTATTGTTGCTGTTATTATTATTGTACTATTATTGTGGTAGTGATATTTGTTGTAGCTGTTATTATTATTATTATTATTATTATTATTATTATTATGGTAATATTGTTGCTGTTGTTAATATGGTAGTGTATTGTTGTTGCTGTTATTACTGTTATTGTGGTGGTGATGTTTTTATTTTTGCTGTTATTATTATATTATTGTGGTATCTTTGTTGCTGTTATTATTGTGGTAGTGGTACTATTGCTTCAGCTGCTGTTATTTTATTGTGGTATTATTGTTATGATAGTGATACTGTTGTAACTGTTGTTATTATTATGTTATAGTAGTATTGCTATTGCTGTTGTTATTATTGTGCTATTATTGTGGTAGTGATATTTGTTGTTGTTGCTGTTATTATTGTGGTAATATTGCTGTTTCTGTTGTTACTATGGTAGTGTATTGTTGTTGCTGTTATTACTGTTGTGGTGGTGATATTGTTATTTTTTCTGTTATTATTGTACTATTATTTGGTAGTGATATTTGTTGTTGCTGCTGTTATTATTATTATGGTAATATTGTTGTTGCTGTTGTTAATATGGTAGTGGATTGTTGCTGTTATTACTGTTATTGTGGTGGTGATATTGTTATTATTTTGTTATATTATTGTGGTAGAGGTATTGTTGCTGCTACTGCTGTTATTTTATTGTGGTATTATTGTTATGGTAGTGATACTGTTGCTACTGTTGTTATTATGTTACTCCGGTATTGTTGTTGCTGTTGCTGTTATTGTGCTATTGTGGTAGTGATATTTGTTGCTGTTATTGTGGTAATATTGTTATTGATATTATTAATATGGTAGTGTATTGTTGTTGCTGTTATTACTGTTATTGTGGTAGTGATATTGTTATTTTTGCTGTTATTATATTATTGTGGAATCATTGTTGCTGTTATTATTGTGATGTTGTTGTTATTATTAGTAATGTGGTAGTTGTTATTGTTATTATAATGCGGATTGCGTCATGGAGGAGGAAGGGTGTTCCATCGGCCGGGGAGCCCCCATAGAAGTCGTGGTGGGGAGGGGGAGACACGGGAAAGGGAGACCTTTAATTCGGCCTAGGGAACGTGGATCAACATTAGTAATTCCAAAGCGGTCTCCTGATGTGGTAAGTTGGTGTAACCAGGATGGCGGTCCCTCCGGTTTGAAGGTGGTGCTGTTGAACGCCAGATCTGTCAATGGTAAAACAGCTTTCATCCAGGATTTGATCCTGGATGAACGGGCAGATCTGGCGTGCATCACAGAGACCTGGTTGGATGAAGCTGGAGGAGTGAATTGACCCAGCTTTGCCCACCAGGTTTCTCTGTGCAGCACCAACCGAGATCCGGAGGGCGGGGAGGCGGAGTTGCAGTGGTCTATAGAGATTCCATTCTTCTGACCAGGGCCCCCATCCCGCAGTCAACAAATTTTGAATGCGTCCACCTGAGGGTGGGTGACCGGGACAGATTAGGGATTCTGTTGGTGTACCGTCCACCTCGCTGCACCACAGTCTCCCTGCCTGAGCTAGCGGGGGTGGTCTCGGACCTGGCATTGGAGTCCCAACGGCTGCTTGTGCTGGGGGACTTCAATGTCCATGCCAAGGCCGCCTTATCGGGAGCGGCTCAGGACTTCATGTCTGCCATGGCAACCATGGGGCTGTCCCAACAGGTATCTGGCCCCACCCACAGTGCTGGACATACATTGGACTTGGTTTTCTGCCAGGGATGGGAGGAAGGTGGCGGTGTTGAGGAGTTATCCATCTCTCCGTTGCCATGGACCGACCACCACCTGGTCAGCTTTAGACTCACTGCACCCCATAACCTCCGCAGAGGTGGAGGACCCATTAAGTTGGTCCGCCCCAGGAGGCTTATGGATCCGGATGGATTCCTGATGGCTCTTGGGGAATTTCCCGCCACCTCGGTAGGTGATCCTGCCCTGGTCACTCTCTGGAATGGGGAGATGACTAGGGCAATAGACACGATCGCTCCAGAACGTCCCCTCTCAAGTAGCCGAGCTAAACCAGCTCCCTGGTTTACTGAGGAGCTGGCAGCGTTGAAGCGAAAGAAGAGGGAACTAGAGGGCGTGTGGCGTTCGGATCCGAAGCGAGCCAAATCGAACACGGTTTGTGTCCTTTTTAAGGGCATATGCCGCGGCAATAAAAGCCGCAAAGAAAACTTTCTTTGCGGCCACTATTGCGTCTGCAAAGAACCGTCCGGCTGAACTGTTCTGAGTTGTCAGAGGCCTTTTAAAACCCACCATTCAGGATGGGTGCCCTGATGACTCGGCAGCTCGCTGTGAAGCCTTTGCTCAGTTCTTTGCAGACAAAGTCGCTTTGATCCGCTCTGGTCTGGATACCATATTAACGGCAGTCTCTGAGGATGTAACCCGAGCATCTGCTTGTCCGGTTTTGATGGATTCATTTCAATTGGTTCAATCCGAGGATGTGGACAAGGTGCTTGGAGGAATGAGAGCTACCACATGCATCCTAGACCCCTGCCCATCCTGGCTTCTGAAGGAGGCCAGAGGGGGATTGGCCGAGTGGGTGAAGGTGGTGGTTAATGCCTCCCTTCGGGAAGGCAAAATTCCAGCCAGCTTAAAGCAAGCTGTGATAAAACCGCTGTTGAAAAAACCATCACTGGACCCCACTCAATTCGTCAACTATCGGCCTGTTTCCAATCTCCCCTTTTTGGGCAAAGTCATGGAACGTGTGGTGGCCTCACAACTCCAGGCATTCTTGGTAGACACGGATTATCTGGATCCGGCACAGTCTGGCTTTAGGCCGGGGCATGGTACCGAGACAGCCTTGGTCGCCTTAGTGGATGATCTGCGCCGGGAGCTCGACAGGGGGAGTGTGTCCCTGTTGGTGCTGCTGGACCTCTCAGCGGCCTTCGATACCGTCGACCACGGTATCCTTCTGGGACGCCTCGCGGGATGGGTCTTGGAGGGACTGTTTTACAGTGGCTCCGCTCATTCCTTGAGGGTCAATCTCAGAAGGTGTTACTGGGAGACTCCTGTTCAACCCCACAACCTTTGTCTTGTGGGGTTCCTCAGGGTTCAATACTGTCTCCCATGTTGTTCAACATCTACATGAAGCCGCTGGGTGAGATCATCCGGAGTTTCGGAGTGCGATATCATCTGTACGCAGATGATGTCCAACTCTGTCACTCCTTTCCACCTGCTACTAAGGAGGCTGTCGAGGTCCTGAACCGGTGCTTGGCCGCTGTGACACTGGATGAGGGCGAACAAATTGAAACTCAATCCAGACAAGACAGAGGTACTCCTGGTCAGTCGGAAGGCCGAACAGGGTATAGGGTTACAGCCTGTGTTGGACGGGGTCGCACTCCCCCTGAAGACGCAGGTTCGCAGCTTGGGTGTGATCCTGGACTCATCGCTGAGCCTGGAACCCCAGGTTTCGGCGGTGACCAGGGGAGCATTCGCACAGTTAAAACTTGTGTGCCAGCTGCACCTGTATCTTGGGAAGTCTGACTTGGCCATGGTAGTCCACGCTCTGGTTACATCCCGTATAGACTACTGCAACACTCTCTAGTGGGGCTGCCTTTGAAGACTGCTCAGAAGCTTCAAAGTCCAACCGTCGGCAGCCATGATACTAACTGGAGCGGAGCGCAGGGAGCGCACAACTCCTCTGCTGCACCAGCTCCACTGGCTGCCGATTTGCTACCGGGCTCAATTCAAAGTGCTGGCGTTGGCCTTTAAAGCCCTAAACGGTTCTGGCCCAACCTACCTATCCGAATGTATCTCGGCCTATCAGCCCACCAGGACCCTAAGATCTTCTGGGGAGGCCTTGCTCTCTATCCCGCCTGGTTCACAGGTGCGGCTGGCGGGGACGAGAGACAGGGCCTTTTCTGTGGTGGCCCCTCGGCTATGGAACGCCCTCCCCATGGAGATAAGAGCAGCCCCCTCGCTGATGGTTTTCCGAAGAAGATTAAAAACCTGGATGTTCGAACAGGCTTTTGGTTAATTCGGTGCAATTGAATGTAATGATTAAAGGACTGGTAAAATGGACGACGAAACTGGATCATGATTTTAGTTAGGAGATGCACTGGATGGTTATTGATGTGCTAATAATGGGTATTGTGTTTTATGGTTTTAAATTGTATACTGTTGATTGTTGTATTTTGTTGTAAACCGCATTGTCGCCATTTAGGCTGAGAAATAGCGGTAAACAAGTACAGTAAATAAATAAATAAATAAATAAATAAATATTATTAGATTAATGTGTTGCTGGGGCATGCAGAGGAGGTCTCTCATTTGCAAGGAAGATTAATCCAAAACTTCAGCCCTCTAATTTCTTGAAAATTTAATGAAAATTAAATTAATTTTTAAGAACACCCCCTCGTTATTTTCGTTTCCAGGCGCGGGGAAAGGTCAGCGAGATTGTCAACAACGCCATTGTGCATTACCGGGACGACTTGGACCTCCAAAACCTCATTGACTTTGGTCAGAAAGAGGTAGGTTGTTTGCATATACTACAAATCCCCCAATCTCCTTGCTAACTTCCGACCAAAGGCATATCTGCACAGTAGAATGAATAAATGCAGTTTGACGCCACTTGAATTGACACAACCCAATGCTGTGGAATCCTGGGAATTGCAGTTTGCTAAGGTCTTGACCCTTTCTGCTTGCAGCACCTTTGCGTCAACACTGTTGTTACGAGGGTTGAATGAAAAGTAATGCCTCCACCTTCGTTACTTGGGTTTGGATGGGAATATTTTAATAAATCAGACACAGAACTGATCCTTAGAATGTGCTCTTTAACTACCACTATTCACCTTTCTACATAATCATCAGACAATTGGATACATTTCTGCCAACGATGAACAAGTTTTCTGAAGCCGTCAACACTCTGTTTCCGCAACCAGTGTCTCTCATCCTGGGTACCCATCGTGCACAGATCTTCCGATATCCAAGCAAAGCAATAATGTGACCCACACGTTCTTGCGAAATGCCAATTGTGCTTGAAATTTCTCTCTGAGTGATACGACAATCATTCTGAATTAATCTGTCAACCTTTTCTGAATTAATCTGTCAACCTTTTGCTTGTGATACTCGGTGGTTGCTATCACAGGACTTCCAACTCTTTGTTTGTCATGCAAATCAGATGTTCTCACCTCGACATCTTTAGACTTACTCGCCCAACGACGCACAGTACTCACATCAACACAATCAACATCAACAGCTTGCATTCTCTGATTAATCTCCTTTGAGGTGACACAGTACTCACATCAACACAAACCCCATAAACAGCTTGCATTCTTTGATGAATATCCTTTGGGGTGACACCTTCTGCAGTCAAGAACTCGATGACTGCACATTGCTTAAGTCACATTGACCGACCGTCTGTGCAGGGTTCCATACTTTGCACTTTAACAACACAAACGTTCAATGCTAAGGCTTCCCGCCAAAATGGAACTGTAGAGGAGAGTCTACTGAACAAGCCAGTACCTGCCGCATACCAGTACTGCCATCTGTTGAGGAGTTACGAAGGTGGAGGCATTACTTTTCACTTTAACAACACAACCGTTCAATGCTAAGGCTTCCCGCCAAAATGGAACTGTAGAGGAGAGTCTACTGAACAAGCCAGTACCTGCCGCATACCAGTACTGCCACCTGTTGAGGAGGTACGAAGGTGGGGGCATTACTTTTCACTTTAACAACACAACCGTTCAATGCTAAGGCTTCCTGCTAAAATGGAACTGTAGAGGAGAGTCTACTGAACAAGCCAGTACCTGCCGCACACCAGTACTGCCATCTGTTGAGGAGTTACGAAGGTGGAGGCAGTACTTTTCACTTTAACAACACAACCGCTCAATGCTAAGGCTTCCTGCCAAAATGGAACTGTAGAGGAGAGTCTACTGAACAAGCCAGTACCTATGTATTGTCGAAGGCTTTCATGGCCAGAATCACTGGGTTTTTGTAGGTTTTTTCGGGCTCTATGGCCATGGTCTGGAGGCATTCTCTCCTGACATTTCGCCTGCATCTATGGCAAGCATCCTCAGAGGTAGTGAGGCCGCATACCAGTACTGCCATCTGTTGAGGAGTTACGAAGGTGGAGGCTTTACTTTTCACTTTAACAACACAACCGTTCAATGCTAAGGCTTCCTGCCAAAATGGAACTGTAGAGGAAAGTCTACCGAACAAGCCAGTACCTACCGCATACCAGTACTGCCACCTGTTGAGGAGTTACGAAGGTGGAGGCATTACTTTTCATTCAACCCTACATCTACACTGTCAAATGAATGCAGTTTGGCAGCACTTTAAGAGCCGTGACTCAATGTGATGGGATCCTGGGAGATATAGTTTCCCAGTGTCCTTACCCTTCTCTGTCCAAGCGTGACAGTGTCTCACCAAACAGCAACTTCCAGGATCCTGTTGCATTGAGCCATTGCAGTTGGAAGTAGTACAAATCTGCATGAATTCCCCAGTGTGGACTCAGCCTCTGCTTTCCCTCTTTCCAGTTCAGCTGCTGCGGAGGCGTCTCCTACAAGGACTGGTCTCGAAACATGTACTTCAACTGTACGGCCTATAATCCCAGCCGGGAACGCTGCTCCGTGCCTTATTCTTGTTGTCTGCAAGTCGAGGACGAGGTCAGTGAGGACAAAGGGTGTTACTTGGTTATTACAGAGTGTCCCCAAGTTACAGACATCCTACCCCTAGTTAAGAATGGAGCCGAGACAACAGAAAGTGAGAGGAATCTGATATTATATACTATTAGTATTAATATAAGTATGTTATATTGTATAATTATATTATATTGTATTGCACATATACACAAATATATACACACATATCCATAGAACACATATGCACAGACTGGGCCACAGCATGCATGCGCAAAACCACATATATACACTAATATACACAGATATATACACACATATCCACAAAACACATATACACAGACTGAGCCACAGCATGCATGTGCAAAACTACATATATACACTAACATATATATACACAAATATATATACACATATCCACAAAACACATATGCACAGACTGGGCCACAGCATGCATGCGCAAAGCCACATATATACATTAACATACATATACACACATATCCACAGAACACATATACACAGACTGGGCCACAGCATGCATGTGCAAAACCACATATATACACTGACACAGATATACACATCTACACAAATATATACACACACATCCACAGAACACATATACACAGACTGGGCTACAGCATGTATGCGCAAAACCACATTGTAACGAATTAGGAGAGAGGAGGGACGATTTATTATTTATTACTCTTAATGGTGCCACCAATGTGTGATGTGAGGTATTATTGGGAGATATGGCACACTGGACACAGAATTAATGGAGATGAGGCAGTCTTCAAACAAAAGAGAACAAGTTTATTTTGAACAAAGCGTATGGTTGCAGGCTGTTGATAAACTTGGAAATACTTTGAGAACTTTACATGTAACTTGGTTGCAATACAGTTCACACTTCTGGATGATACAACTTGTAATTGACTTTTACTGTGGTGAAACACTTTCTTAAACAATGTTTCCTGAGGTGAATAGCCTTCTGATTTGATCCTTTCTTGATCAAACCCCAGATCTCTAGTTCTTTCCTAACTAGTGATCTAAACAAGCTTCTCTTAGTCCTCTCTAACTAATGAAACTAATTAGGTTTCCCCTTCAGCCTTCCTAAACTGAAGAAACCTCTGACTATTCACAAACACTGCTTCTCTACTTCCCACTCTCTCTCTCTCAACTGCTAACTCCGACTCCAAAACCCTAACTGAACATAAACTGTCGTTTTTCAAACTCTCCCCTCTAAGCTCCTCCCACTTCTCTCTCTACAGCATCGTCTCCATGGCAACGCACTCCTCTGACTTAGGCCGCTCCAGCATTACTGCAGCCAATCTAAACACAAATACAGTTAAAGTCATACAATTTATAATCAACTTCTGTACACACATATATACACTAACTTACATATATACACACATATCCACAAAACACATATACATAGACTGGGCCACAGCATGCATGCGCAAAACCACATATATACACTAACACACATATATACACATATGCACAGATATATACACACATATCCACAAAAACACATATACACAGACTGGGCCACAGCATGCATGCGCAAAACCACATATATACACTAACACACATATATACACATATGCACAGATATATACACACATATCCACAAAAACACATATACACAGACTGGGCCACAGCATGCATGCGCAAAACCACATATATACACTAACACACATATATACACATATGCACAGATATATACACACATATCCACAAAAACACATATACACAGACTGGGCCACAGCATGCATGCGCAAAACCACATATATACACTAACACACATATATACACATATGCACAGATATATACACACATATCCACAAAAGCATGCGCAAAACCACATATATACACTAACATACATATATACACAATATACACACACACATACATACAGACTGGGCCACAGCATGCATGCGCAAAACCCCATATATACACTAACACATATACACAATTATATACATACATATACACACACAAAACACATACACAAAGACTGGGCCACAGCAACGTGTGTCAGGGGACAGCTAGTATTATATATTAGGAATTGTGGGAGTTGGAGTCCTAAACACCATGCCTGCATTAGGGAATGTGCAGTAGTGATTGTGGATGAATGAGTGCTTTGTTTTTGTGATTCTGCATATATAATGTGCCTATATGTATATGCTATATAATATACCATCTCTGGCCTTTGCCCTCTTCCTCCTTGCAGTCGGTCATCAACACCATGTGCGGCCAAGGCATGCAGGCCCTCAACTACCTGGAGGCCGGCGAGTTCATCTACACCAACGGCTGCATCGACAAGCTGGTCAACTGGATCCACAGCAACCTCTTCCTCCTGGGTGGAGTGGCCCTGGGGCTGGCCATCCCGCAGGTGAGCCCCTTCCTCCTGGAGACCGAACCAGGGCTTTGCTTTGCTTTTAAATTGTTTTGTTTAGACAGATTAAGACAAAAGCTACACACAAAACAACAACAACAACAACAAGAGTACTTTTTCAAGAATAATACGAATGAAAAGTAATGCCTCCACCTTTGTAACTCAACAGATAGCGATACTGGTATGCAGCAGGTACTGGCTTGTTCAGTAGACTCTCCTCTACAGTTCCATTTTGGCAGGAAGCCTTAGCATTGAACGGTTGAGTTGTTAAAGTGCAAAGTATGGAACCCTGCGCAGACAGTCGGTCAATGCAACTTAAGCAACTTGCAGTCATTGAATTCTTGACAGCAGAAGGAGAATGCAAGCTGTTTATGGGGATTGTGTTGATGTGAGGACTGTGCGCTGTTGGGCAAGTAAGTTTAAAGATGTTGATGTTGGAACATCTGACTTTCGTGACAAAGAGTTGGACGTCCTGTGACAGCAACCACTGGGTTTCACAAGCAAAAGGTTGACAGATTGATTCAGGACGATCGTCGTATCACTCAGAGAGAAATTTCAAGCATAATTGGCATTTCACAAGAACGTGTGGGTCACATTATTGCTTTGCTTGGCTTTTGGAAGATCTGTGCACAATTGGTACCCAGGATGAGAGAACTGTGAGATGCTGGTTGCGAAAACAGATTGTCGACTTCTTCCGTGACTGCTTCAGAAAACTTGTTTATCGTTGGCAGAAATGTATCCAATTGTTTGGTGATTATGTGGAAAAGTGAATAGTGGTAGTTAATGAGCACATTCTAAGGATTATTTCTACGTTTGATTTATTAAAATATTCCCATCCAAACCCAAGTAACGAAGGTGGAGGCATTACTTTTCAACCCTCTCAGTTTGCAGCAGCCCAATCAGAGATCATATGCAAATTGTTCCAATCAGAGATCATATGCAAATTGTTCCACAGTGGCAACGAATCAGAAAGCTGCCACAGCCTCACGCCCTTTTTTCCCCTCTCTGCTGTCTCAGAATGTTGGAATGTTGAGGCTGGCCAATCAGAGACCATATGCAAATTGTACCACAGTGCCAACCAATCAGAATGCAGCCACATACACCTCCCTCCCTCCCTCCACATACAAACATTCACTTTTATTACATAGATAGATAGATAAATAGATAATATTACTAGTAATATTGCAGTATAATGTGCTATTATTTTGACGTATATGTGAATTTTTTGGGGGGGGATTTGGGGGGTTGGTTATTTTTGTCTTTGTTCAGCTTCTGACGGCATTGAATGTTTGCCGATATCTGTTTGACATCGCCCTGAGTCCTTTCAGGGAGTAGGGCAGGATATAAATAAAGTTTGAGTATTATTATTTTACTGACACAAAAGGACAGTATGTCACAGCAAATGAGATCTATATGCTGGATTTCATATGACAAGATCACAAGTTGAACGCTTCCCAAGTGTCTAGGACTGTGTGATGTATGTATGTATGTATGTATGTATGTATGTATGTATGTTGTTGTTGTTGTTTAAAATCCTGGTTTTGTTTCATTGTTTCTTCTTCCCTTTTGCAGCTGGTTGGGATCCTGCTCTCCCAGGTGCTGGTCAACCAGATCAGAGACCAGATCAAGTTGCAACTCTACAACCAGCAACACCGGGCCGACCCTTGGTACTGACAGGCCCAGCATCCAGGGCAAGAGCCGCTCATTCAAGGGCCAAACCCACAAGGAAGGGGCTGGCGAGGAAATGGGGGGGCCTCCCTCTTCCTAGCAAAGCCTTTGGGAAGCTTGGAAGGAGACCCCAGATTGTAGTGACTTAAGGATCTCTGGGGAGGACTCTCCTTTGCATTTCTTGCCTGCGGATACAGAAACCTTGAGGTGACAAAGACCATGACTTACCCAGTCAGGTGATGCTTTTTGGCCCCCAGAGACAGGTTTTGGGGGTGCTAAAGCCTGGAACCCTGTGTTAATCAATGGGGAGGCATCTTCCCATTCCATGTTGCTAGAAGAAAAAGCTTTGTGGAGTCGGGATCCATCCATGTTTCCATTGCTTGGTCAAAGAGGGTCTTCACCAGACAAAGTAGCGTAGAAGACAGGAGAAGAAGGCCCTATTCCAGATGCATGACTCCATTAAAGAAGCCATATGCAGTGAGGACACATTTAAGGGGGTCTCTCCAACAGACAATAAAGTAAGTTATGAGGCAGTAGGAAAAGAAGAAGACCCTATTCCATATGGAGTCAGGAGTCATCCGTGTTTCCAGTGCTTTGATAGATCAAGAAGGTCCTTCAACATAAAATAAAATAAGTTATTACACAGTAGGAAAAGAAGAAGACAATATTATATATGGGATTCAGAATCCATTCATGTTTCCAGTGCTTTGATAGACCAAGAAGGTCCTTCAACAGACAATAAAATAAGTTATGAGGCAGTAGGAGAAAAAGAAGACCCTATTCCATATGGAGTCAAGATCCATCCATGTTTCRAGRYCTTTGATAGATCAAGAAAGGCCTTCAACAGAAAATAAAGTAAGTTATGAGGCATTAGGAAAAGAAGACGACCATATTCTATATGGAGTCAGGATCCATCCATGTTTCTAGTACTTTGATAGATCAAGAAAGGCCTTCAACAGAAAATAAAGTAAGTTATGAGGCATTAGGAATAGAAGAAGACCATATTCTATATGGAGTCAGGATCCATCCATGTTTCCAGTCCTTTSATAGCTCAAGAAGGTCCTTCAACAGACAATAAAATAWGGTCCTTCAACGGTGCTTTGGTAGATCAAGAAGGATCTTCAACAGACAATAAAGTAAGTTATGATAGATCAAGAAGGGTCTTCAATAGACAATAAAGTAAGTTATGAGGCAGTAGGTAAAGGAGAAGACCATATTCCATATGGAGTCAGGATCCGTCCGTGTTTCCAGTGCTTTGATAGACCAAGAAGGGTCTTCAACAGATCATAAAGTAATGTCAAAGGCAGAAGAAGAAGAAGACCCTATCCCAAATGGATGGACCCCATTGAGGAAACCACATGGAGTCAGGATACCATCAAGTGAGGGTCTTCAACAAAGTAAAGACAATAGGAAAATAAGAATACCCTGTTCCAAATGGAGAAGCTCAACTGATGAAGCCATTGACTGCAAGAGCTGATTGTTGCATGGCTTGGATGTCCTTCATGCTTAGAGTTGCCACAAGCCAAAGGCATCTTGACTGCAAGCAATCAACATGTTGACAACAGTCAACATAAATATCAGCAACAAGCAACTCATTTAACTGACATGCTGGAGTTGCATTCTGGGCTACAGACCCTGCCCAGAGGCTGGACTAAATGACCTCTTGGGTGCCTTTGGACTCTGTAATTCTTTAAAGCCACCAATGTGAATAACAAGAGAGAGGCAAATGGAGGGGCTTTTGGACTCTAGATGTCTCCTTATTAAGGAATCCCATCTCCAGAAATGCCAACTTGCCCATTGTTCACTCAGTGGTTGTGTTCCCACTCTGGTCAGTGTGGTGGGTGTGTTTGTGGGTGCCTTTTTTTGACTATGTATTGTATCCTCGCACCAAAAGGTCCATATGGGGAAAGCAATGTGGTGTGTGATTATCTTTCTCGTGTTGTGTTACGATAATCCTACATAGGTGCATCTACATTGCAGGACAACTGCAGTTTGACGCATTTTAACCAACATGTCTCAGTTCTGTAGGATCGTGGGAGTTGTAGTCTTGTAAGGTCTTTCGCCTTATTTATTTATTTACAGTATTTATATTCCACCCTTCTCACCCCAAAGCAGACTCAGGGCGGATCACAGAATATATTCAGTGCTGTTTTATACACAAACCTCTACTTACAGCTCTAAGCTATTTTCGAATTGCGTAGGTCAACAGTGAGCTGGGCTGACCGTCAGAAGATCATGCCGGCCCAGGGCTTCGAACTTTTCAGTTCGTAGATCTTATCATTGCTAGTGATTTACCAGCTTTGCTAAAGCTCGGCCTCCCTGCTTTTAGTAAAGCGGTATCTATCTACTCACATTTTTGTTCGAATCGATAGGTAAGTGGAAGATTGGGCTAAAAGCGAGGAGCTCACCCTGACCTGGGCTTCAAATTGGCAGCCTTTCAACTGACAAGATTTACTGTAGCTAGTGGTTTAACCTGCTGTGCTAAAGCCTGGCCTTCTCTGCCAAAGAGTTCTGGTCCCTTTCTGAACTACAAATCCCATTGATCCATGGCAGGTAAAGTATGGAACTGCCATTAATTCTGCAGTGTAGAAACTTTTAAGGCAGCGATTTTAAACCTGGGGGTCAGGGGCCCTGCAGTGGGTTGCCAAAGACCATCAGAAAATACAGTATTTTCTGTTGGTCATGGGGGTTCGGTGTGGCCCAACTCTATCATTTGTGAGGTTCAAAATGCTCTTTGATTGAAGTTGAACTATAAATCCCAGTAACTACAACTCCCAAATGTCAAGGTCTACTTTCCCCAAACTCCACCAGTGTTCACATTTGGGCCTATTGAGTATCCGTGCCAAGTTTGGTCCAGATCCATCATTGTTTACATCCACAGTGCTCTATGGATATAGGTGAACTACAACTCCAAAACTCAAGGTCAGTGCCCACCAAACCCTTCCAGTATTTTCTATTTGTCATAGGAGTTCTGTGTGACAAGTTTGGTTCAATCCCATTGTTTATGGGGCTCTTTGATTGTAGGTGAACTATAAATCCCAGCAACTATAACTCCCGAATATCAAGGTTTATTTTCCCCAGACTCCACTAGAGTTCACATTTGGGCATATTGAGCATTCATGCCAAGTTTGTCCCAGATCCATCATTGTTTTGAGTCCACGGTGCTCTCTGGATGTAGGTGAACTACAACTCCCAAGCTCAAGGTCAGTGCCCACCAAACCCAGTATTTTCTGTTGGTCATGGGAGTTCCGTGTGCCAATTTTGGTTCAGTTCCATTGTTGATGGAGTTTAGAATGCTCTTTAATTGTAGGTGAACTATAAATCCCAGCAACAACTCCCAAATGACAAAATCAACACACACGCACACCCATCCCACCAGTATTCAAATGTGGGCGTATCGGGTATTTGCGCCAAATTTGTTCCAGGGGAAATGCTGGAGGAAAAGAGGGGTGTCAGATAAGAGCCTTGGATAAGCCGAAATGTCGGATAAGCGAAGGTTGGATAAGCGAGACTTATTTTGGAGGGACATCCTTCAGCAGTACATTTTGCTATGGTTTTGCAATGAACGTCTCAACCAATTCAGCATAGATTTTGGAGTAGAACAATTGCTTCCAACAACTACTTTCAAATTAAGTATTTCACAATTAAACAGCAATAACACTTTCCAACCGTGCCTCGTATTGGCCAGAGTCTCCTTCTGGGAGGCCATCTGTCAGGAGGACTTTAAATGTGCCTCCCTTTCGTTGCATTCCAGGACTGGAAAAGCCCTCTGACTGTAAACACCACACCATTGATTGAACACTCCTTTTATTGAAGATAATTAAAAAGCAGCAAGTAAAAAGCACTTTAAAGAAATAAGTAAATCCAATTAGGTAAGAAGATAAGCAGGAGCAAAAATAGTCCAGGGTAAAGTTCAGCAAAGTCCATAAAAATAAAGTCCACACTTCTCTAATTCAGGAAAACAGGAAACATTAATCCAAGGCATGAGTAGGCATTCATACAATCCAAGAATCCAAACCATGAAACAAATACTTAGACAAGAATCTTCCAAGCAAGGCTTCCACAAAACAAGGGCGAGAACTACACTTAACTCCAACGATGCTTCATCTGACTATATTTCCCATACTTGGAACGTTTATCCCCTTGTTAAGCTATTCCATGCACTCAGGAATTGATTTCGCTTTACTTAAGATCCCCTTATTATTTTCTGTCGGAGTCTGGCAGAACACCGAAGGCACTGTTCGGCCTGTCTGTTTTGACTAATTTCCTCTCTTCTATCTATTTGCTCATTAAGTCTCATAGCTGGGCCAGGTGCCCAGTTGTTTTCAAGCCCAAAATCCTGGGAATTCTCTGGTAGCAATCCAGGGAGTACACTATCATCCCCACACTCTTCGTATTCCCTGTCTGAATAATTTGTTTCTTCTATGTTTGAGTGTCCCTTATGATGATACAATGGATGAGGATGTGCTCTTCCCCACAAAGATTCTTCTTTGGCCTTTGTTCGCTCAGTAAATATCCAGAAAAGGGAAGTAAACTCACCCATGCCACACTCCACATCAGACAAAAACAAAAAAACCCAAAACAACTCAACAAATCCCAAAATCTTTGGGTGATCTCGGTGACCCCTGAATTATAGAATATTCCAATCAAGGACTTACCAGATCCAAAACGATAGTTTGTGGATCACAAAGAACACAACAGAGAACTGAACTGACTGGAAATGTTCTCTTGGTACATAATGGATTCCAACGATGCTTCATCTGACTATATTTCCCATACTTGCAACTTTTATCCTCTCGTTAAGCTATTCCATGCACTCAGGAATTGATTTCGCTTTACTTAAGATCCCCTTATCTTTTTCTGTCGGAGTCTGGCAGAACACCGAAGGCACTGTTCGGCCTGTCTGTTAATGACTAATTTCCTCTCATCTATTTGCTCATTAAGTTTTGCAGCAGTTGTTTTCAAGCCCCAAAACAAGAACAAGAACTACACTTGATTCCAAACGATGCTTCATCTGACTATATTTCCCATACTTGGAACTTTTATCCCCTCGTTAAGCTATTCCATGAACTCAGGAATTGATTTTGCTTTACTTGAGATCCCCTTATCTTTTTCTGTTGGATCCTGGCAGAACACCGAAGGCACTGTTTGGCCTGTCTGCTTTGACTAATTCTGTCTCGTCTATCTATTTGCTCATTAGGTTTTGCAGCTGGGCCAGGTGCCCAGTTGTTTTCAAGCCCCAAATCTTGGGAACTCTGGTAGCAATTTAGGGAGTACACTATCATCCCCACACCCTTCAGGGACATTCTCATGGGAAATTACACTTTGCACAGGGGTCTCCTGGTCCTTCTCTGCATCAATATCGTTGACCAAACCATTACCATCTTGAAATTCATTGGCATCACTTCCCTGATCCTGGAACAATCACCGGCTGAACTCCCAACACCTTTCTGGGAAACATGGGGGCTGGACTAGATGACCTTCGGGAAACCCTTTTAAAACTGGGTTGTTGTAGGTTCTAGAGGCATTCTCTCCTGATGTTTCGCCTGCATCTATGGCAAGCATCCTCACAAGTAGTGAGGTCTCTTGGAACTAGGAAAAAGGGTTTATATATCTGTGGAAAGACCAGGGTGGGACAAAGGACTCTTGTCTGCTGGAGCCAGGTGTGAATGTTTCAACTGACCACCTTGATTAGTATTTGATAGCCTGGCAGTGCCTGGAGCAATCTTTTGTTGAGAGGTGATTAGATGTCCTTGATTGTTTTCCCTCTGCTGTTGTGCTATTGTAATTTTAGAATTTTTTAGTACTGGTAGCCAGATTTTGTTCATCTTGTGGATTTCAYTGGCTTCTCTGTGTAGTCTGACATGGTGGTTGTGAGAGTGGTCCAGCATTTCTGTGTTCTCAAATAAAAAYGAGAAYCCATTGAAATCCACAAGAAGCATGTGGACAATACCAACAGAAAGGAGGAAACCATGAAGATGAACAAAATCTGGCTACCAGTATTTAAAAAAAACTCTAAAATTAAAACAGCAAAACAYCAGAYYGYAAACAATTGGGGGCATCTAATCACCTTTCAACAAAAGATTMCTCCAGGCACTGCCAGGCTACCAAATGCTAATCAAAGTAGTCAGTTGAAACATTCACAGCTCCAGCAGACAAGAGTCCTTTGTTCCACCCTGGTCATTCCACAGATATATAAACCCATTTTTTTAGTTCCAACAGACTACACTACCTCTAAGGATGCTTGCCATAGATGCAGGTGAAACGTCAAGAGAGAATGCCTCTAGAACATGGCCATATAGCGCGAAAAACCTACAACAACCCAGTTTTAAAAGGGCTTCCCGAAGGTCATCTAGTCCAGCCCCCATGTTTCCCAGAAAGGTGCTGAGAGTTCAGCCTGTGATTGTTTCAGGATCAGGGTGCTTTGGATGTGGGAGGTGAGGCCAATGAATTTCAAGATGGCAATGGTTTGGTCAACGATATTGATGCAGAGAAGGACCAGGAGACCCCTGTGCAAAGTGTTGTTTCTCATGAGAATGTCCCTGAAGGGTGTGGGGATAATAGTGTACTCCCTAAATTGCTACCAGAGTTCCCAGGATTTGGGGCTTGAAAACAATTGGGCACCTGGCCCAGCTGCAAAACTTAATGACCAAATAGATAGATACAACAACCCAGTGATACCGGCCATGAAAGCCTCCGACAATACCTTTTAAAACTGTTGGTCTCAATAAGCTATCCATCTGTTTACACTATCTTACTGAGCCTTCTATGCTGATCATCTATGCTGATGATCGTGCCATTACCGCTCAAGCAGGAAGCTTTGAGATGGTAGAACAGAAGCTTTCCGAAGCTCTAGGTGATCTTACTGCCTATTACAGGGAAAACCAGCCGATCCCCAACCCATCTAAAACAC